CCTGCAACGGTAACACAAATGGTATCAGCTCGTGTAATATTCAACTCGGGTTGACAAAGAGCAATCTGACGAACCATCTGAGACGCCAAATGCGCCACGCCTATGGAGTGCTCAAAGCGTGTATGTGTTGCGCCTGGATAGAGAAATACGGTGGTGCCAAGCTGCTTCAGCGAACGAAGACGTTGAAACTCAAGCGTGTCAACTATACGAATCGCAATAGTTGGAAGAAAGACGTACTCATGCACACGATCCTGAATGTGCTTTCCCGGTGTGTCGTTAGTGCCGACCAAAGGCAAACAAAAGGACAACTCCCCCGAGCAGTCAACAGCCGTGCGTGGAGCATCATCCTCCGCAAGGGAGCTCGCCGTCCCAACGTTATATGAGACCTTACCGGCCCGGGCGTCCAAAAGCGCATCAGGTGGAGAAGCTGAATGAAAAATATCCCGTACACTTTTCTCCGCGTAACAAGGAGAAGCGTTGGCTGAACGAAAAAGGCACTGTTCATCCTCCGCATTAGCATTAGACAATGCCGTGGAATCAGCAATAGGCTTAGCGGCAGTAGAAGTAGAAGTGGATAGGGAAGGAGCCCAGGCACAATGCCCCTGTGTTTCTCCCTTACCTTCACCTTGACTCGGCCATTTTGCTGCGCCACTTAACTTCAGTGTATATGAGGCGCCGCCCTTAAGATGAAAAGTTCCCTCCGCATCCGGAAAAACATGAGATCTTCCACCGAAGCACTCACAAAGGCCTGCCAGGCCTTGTGGAAATAAAGCCTGCACCTGGCTCAGTGTCATGACACACGGCACCGGCTTCCCATCAACAAACGCCACGCCATCCATCACTGAACAACAGAGGACTGACAGAGACAATAAGAAAAAGAAAAGTACTAGTCGTGGAAGCAGCATCCGGGGTAGTAAAAAATCGTGTAAGTGCACAAATGCGCAAATAGGAGGGGAGCCAGCACCCCTCCAACGTCAAGCAAAGCCATTAGTTCCTGAGCAGCCATGAAGAGACATCAGTTCCTCCCCAGTTGCTGGAACAGGCTAAGAAAAAAAAAAAAAAAAAATCATTTATCCTCTGAAGCACAAATATTTTTAAAAAAATCCCTAAGCAAAAAAAAGCACAAAGAAATTACATACGCTAAGCAAAATGCCAAGACAAATTGAAGAAAAAAAAAAAAAAGAAACTTGCACCTGGACAACATCAAAATGCAAGTCAAGAACAAATATGGCCCTGTTCACAAACTTACCCATTGATGCAGCCAAACAGTGATTCCAATTGGCGATCAACAAAGACGGACCTTACTAAAGAATAAAACCCGCACAATCGAGCAGATTTTGCTTCCAAAACCTTTCCTTTTTGAGTCTTGTCGAGCAGCTGGTTAAGTACATTGGCCAATCGATACCCCGCAAGTACCACACGGGACTCGGCTGCCGCCCTGCATTTCTCAAGATACTCGTCAGTGATTTTCGCACCGTCCACAAATCCGGGGTAGGCAACTTGCACCGCAATATCGTAGCTCTCCATCGCCATCTGAGTCGTGTTTGTCTCATTCTTCACTTCCGCCGGAAACTTGTAGGTGTCCTCCAGTCGGTCGGCAAACTCCCTCAACTTCGCGTAATGCCATCTGTCCAAAGGTCGTCTTGGATTTTTAACATCACCCTGGCAAATGGAATCCCACAGTGAGTGCAATGCCATCATTTTACCATGAACAATAACTGTCTCCGCGTTGCCACCCCTGTCGCCGTGTGGATATTCGGGAGAAAACAACTCCACTGCGTGCAGAGGTTGGTGGATATCACCAAGGAAGTGAGCAATATTCACAATGGCAAAACTCATAATATATGGGACCAGATCTTGCTTCATCAGCGTCCTCTTCAAGCTTTCAATAACGGTCTTCAAATTTTCCGTATTCACGGGATTCTTCTTGATGTTAATGTTTTGCGGATTGTACGGTGTGTCAATATAATGCCAATCTTCCATGACAAAAAGCCCCAATTTCTTGATATCGTCGGCCCAGCACCCACTCTCCACAAAATCAGTCGTATGAGGGAATGGCCCGCTGGCGCTGAGGTTGACTGCTGCCTCCTCCACTATTAGAGCCACCTCGGGGTGCAGCCGGCGTCTGGCGATCTCATTCACCAACATGTGCCCGTTGCACCACCACGCGTCTGCTGACAATGAAAAAAGCCAAAAGCAAATGAGTACAGTGAAAAGCATTATTGAATTTGGGTATTTGGTGGGCATTGGGATTTTCTTTTCTTTCCTTTTCCGCTCTTCTTCTCTATTTTTTTTATTTGGCTTTTGATTTTATTTTTTTTTTTGTTCCTTCCGACGTTTTTGTGGAATGGTGTTTGATGATCTTGTGCCCCGTCCATACAGTAAAGCAAGTAAGAGAAAGTGAGAGAGAAAGACACAAGTGAAAAAAAAAAAAAAAAGAGGAAGAGGAGGGAGGAACCGTATTTGGAGCGGTTCCCCCACCCCCCATTTGGTGGGGGCGCGACTCTGTTCAATTGAAGCAATTCTTCCCATGCAACGGCAACGGCAAGAGGACAACAACAACACAACAACAACAAAAAAAAAAAAAAACGGAAGAAGACCCGCCCAAATCGGCTTCTCCCGTTACGATGGTTACGCCAATAACGAGTCCACACGAAAATAACAGATGATTTTTTGCACCCTCTGTTGCAAAAGGGGAACATATTTTTTGAACACTAAAAGGAATGTGGGACTTGCTGCAAAAAGAAATGGGGGGTACAAAAAAAAAAAAAAAAAACTTTTTTTTTCCTTAGCTATTTCTACAGGAGCAACAAAGTCTTTAGTGACGCTCGGTGACACCGAAAGTCGTTGCCGGGACAAAGTTTTCGTCATATACAAGATTCATCTGCTGAAACAAAATCCACACCTTCGTGATGCGAAGAATATCCATGTCATTTAGCCCGATAAACCGAAGCTCCCCCTTGGTGAGGTACACCGCCCCCTTCTCGTTCACCGCGGGGGGGTGGATGCCGCCAAGAATCTTGTATGCCTTTGTCGCATCGTTGCCGCACTGTTCCAGTACACCCAGCGTCCTCATCGCAATCCGTTTTACGCGCTTCTTGAGCAAAATGTACTGTGAGGGGTAGATGTAGTTCATCTCACATAGGCTAGCCTCGAAGCAGTTGAGCTGCTCAAAGTGTGCCTCCTTTGTGATGTCAAGCTTTCCTCCCCACACGGGGTCCACGCGCACCAAGTTGGACAAGCCAACAATCCACGCCTCAAAGTCAGGCAGGGAGCCGGCGACAATGTCGACAGTGCGGCCACCGCTCTTAAGCCCCAAAGTAAAGCTGCGGTAGAAACTGGGGTCAGTCGATGCGACGGGGTGGCGTTTGAAGACTTTGCTGAAGCACCCGAGCTGAATGAAGCTCACATCGTCAAGGTCTATGGATGAACGTTCTGCTGTAATTTTTGACTCCGGTTCCGTCCAAACCAATTTCCGTGAGTTTTGTGAGATTGTAACCCAAAAGTAACGAAAATGTGGTCTCCCACTGCGTCCGTGCTTCAACATCACAGTACCACCGCGTAGAAACCGGATAAGGTCATGCACAAGCGTTGGGGAGTCGTATACACGCATTAGGTATTCATTATCCCGTACATCGCGTTTTCGAGTCCTTTCCAAAGATTGTGCCTCTTCATCATTCGTACTTTCTTCTTTGTTTTGCCCGGGTTGTTTCCCTGCTCTTTCTTCGTCTTCCCCCTTCTTTTCCTCGTCATAGCAGTTGTCGTCCGTGTCATCCCCATTTGCGTCAGCCATGCTTCCATCCCTTCTCTGCAAAATAAATTCACCTTCCAAGTTTGCTGTTTGCTGTAGACCATTCCATTCCGGTTGCTTAAAAGTCCCTTGCGCCTTTGTGTCCCCTAATGCATCGTACTGATCCTTTATTGGCGTATTGGGTCCCTCACTACTCGAAAAGGACCTCGAATCACCACGAAGCATACGATTCTCCTCACGGTGGTGAGAGTTTTCCTCGTCACTTTCATCGGAGGAGAGAAACGTGACGTTGTGGTACGCACTCGGCTCGCACACCTCAGCTTTACTTGACGGTGTTGTCACCAAGGGCGGGTATAGACGTTCCCCGCTACGCAGGAGACTACTGAAACCATCAATATCGTTCCATGAGAACTTCTTTTCCGCGTGGCTTACTCCGTCTGCAATGTCGACGGAGCGATCAATGATAAAGTCAATAATGTCGTAAACCAACGTGCCATCCATGATGATGGAGGAACTGAAAAGCTTCGCTCGGCGCACTTGGGAGCGTTGTCGTTGCGTAGCACCCAACCACTGGGCATATAAATCTTGAAGGCGGTTCAACTCTGTCGCATGGGAGTGGAAGTTCTCCACCAATAACTGGACGGAGTCGTCTTTGAGCGTTTCCCCCGTTGTCAACTCCTCCGTACTTTCATTGGTGTCTTCCACTAAAGGAGAAGTAAATGCCGCCTCCATTTCTTCCGCGTGCCTCTCCGTCTCTTTCAAAGCAATATTTAATTTCTCTACTTTCGCTTGCATTTTTAAACGCGTCTTCTTGGCCTTCTTGGCCCCTATAAGTTTTTTCTCCTGCTCCTCCGCCTGTTCCTCCTTGTTTCGCTTGGCATCTTTTTTCTCCTTCTTTATGGCGTGCGACACGGCTTCGTACTCATCAATCATCTGGTTCATCTTGTCCGCAAACGCATGTACCCTCTCCATCTGCTTCGCCCGTATCTCCGCTTCCATGGCTCGCATGCATTCTTCCTCCTTACGCGCTACGATGCTGGATGCGTCTCTCTGCAGCAAGTCGATGGATGCTCTTCGAGCCTCATCCACACCAATGTTCTTCACATAGGCCATGAAAAGAGGGCGCATTGGTTGGTAATAACACTCCGCACCTGCAATTCGCAACTCTGCAGTGAGTTCCTCCTGCTGCCGAAGCGATCGAATATAACTCTCCTCGTCCTCCTGACTAAGAAAAAAAGTCGGACTGCCCGCCTTCAAACCCTTCACGCGGTCACAAAAACGCAACGTCCCCCTTGACTCCTGCGCGCTCACGCTGGGTGGAGAAATTTGGCCAATAAGAAGAAGACGCGAATTCCTATCGACAAATAATGGCTTGAGGAGTCTCGTCAGCTTTGACTCCCGGAACGGGATGTGGTTACTCTCCATGTACATGGCATTAATGGTCGTTCCGAGAGCTGCGAGTGACTTGTTGATAGCCTGTGCCTCCACCATGGCCTGCCCCTCCACACCTGTGCGCTTCACCCGCTCGCTACCTGCCAAATCCACCAGCACAATGCGAGATCGCACAAGTCCCTTGATGTCGCCACTAATAGGGATTCCACTCGCGTCTAACAGTTGTTCTCGTGCTGGAGGCTCTGGGGATGCGTTGAGGGGCATCTGAAAAATATCAATAAAGAACAGGGCGTGCGAGCGTGAGCTGCAGTCATTTATTTTTGTGGATGTAACAGAACGGTATGAGTTGGCCATATTAAATGTCTGCATCACGTCTTCCACTGTCCGTAACTCAATAATGTTGACACCCGGGGTCAATGTCCCTTCGGGTGTCTCGCGAAGTTTTACCTTCTTTCGCTTGGAAAGAAGATCCATGACGTCATCTACATAGATCTCGACCGCGGAAATGAAAACGAGAAGGTGTCGTTCCCTCTTCACAGCCTCCCTATAAGCAAATATATCGTGAAAAACACGAGGAAAGATACCGGACTCCTCCGTCAGATCGCCACTAGACAAGGAACCAAGAATGGTGTACGTTTTGCCACTGCCTGTTTGACCGTATGTGAGAACAGTCACGTTGGCGCCCTGCAACGCGTCATCCACAAGCTCCTGCACCGACTGCGTGTACAATTGACACTGATCATCACCGCCGTCAAAAACGTCATCAAATTGAAATGTTGACGGCGCACCCATACTTTCCTCGTCCTTGATAATGACAGTCCGCCCGTCGTCAGCCTTGTGAGCGCAGAGGGGATCAAAGCGCTCCTTCTGTAAGGGAGGACGAATGCGAATCGCCACATTTATCCTCTGCTCCATTATTTATTTATTTTTATTTTTTTTTTCGCTTCTTTTTAACTTTTTTTTCCTTCCCCACAATCCCCGCTTCCACTAATGCCCTTTTGCTTGACTTTGTGTATGGGCCACAGCCGTACCGCATGCAATTAAATACCTGCGTATATTCGCCCGCGGCAAGTCGGCTGCTGTGAAAAGTTGGCCCAATTCACTTCTTCCTCCACACACACACAAAAAAAAAAAAAGGAGAAAAACGGTGTACGATGATGACGCAACACACAAGGCGCAAGAATGCAGAATACCGCACGCAGATCCAGGCATAATGTACAAATGCACATACAGGAAACAAGAAAAACAAAGGCACCTCTGTGACGCTACACACACAAACACACACAAAAAAAAAAAATAATAATAAATAAAAAGTGAAAAGCAAAAATATAATTATGCGCAACGGGGAGTGTTAGCCAAAAGGACATTCATTCCCCATCACCGTCTCTGCAAGAAACCTCTTTTAGCTGTGAAGATTTGATTGAAGCTACACGCTTCCGTTGCGCAGCTCTGCAATGCGCTCTTGCGCGAGATCGAGCTCGTCTGCGTTGATCAAAACAGCAGTTAACGTCACATTTTGATAACTTTCCTTTATTTTCACCTCCACGCCGGTGGCTGCACGGCCTTTTTTCACACAGAGGCCAGCCCTCTCCGCGACTGTGGCATGGATCCATGTCGGCGAAGTGTAATTCATCATGTGGGCCAGCAGGGCAAGCTGCGTCGTTGCACGTGAACCCAAAAACTGATTCCGTTGAAGCCCAATGCACTCAGGCCTGTACGTGATAACGTCCAGCAACGAGTCCCGTTCACAAACAAACTCCGCATTCACGACGACGATTGACTTCGCCTTCTCAGTGGCGGAGTTGACACCACTCACAGCGTTCCGTTCCACCCCCATCAGTTGGTGCGGCGGCAGTTCAACACCGACAGCCGCGTCCTGCAGGGACCATCCACTCCTCTCAATAACTCCCGCGTCAATCCAAAGATTGCTGGGGCTGTCAGTCATCTGCTGCTGTCGTTCATAAAAACAATGATGTTCGTGGCAGGTCCGTCGCGTCGTGTTCGGCTCGCAAAATTTTGTTGGCGTTGAATGCGTCTTCTCCGGGTTTCGCTTCATCTCCAAAAACGCCTCGGCAAGCCTTGCTGAAAAGTCCAACGAAACGTCATGCACCCCATCCTCGGTGAGGCACTGGTGCCGTCGAAACGGTGTACATGACAGAGAGTCGAAGCGTGAGGCATCGTTGGTTTGCTCCGCATTAATAAGCCAACGTGAACTTCGTCCAACGTACAGCGGTGTGGCGTTCGGGGTGATGGTGACCCCCCTCCATCGCCTCTCCAGTCCCTCCCCCTCTATCCAGTACGGGGATCCAAATTTAAGAGGGAAACAACCCTTCCCGAGACTGTGATTATCACCGCAAGACGCTGTAAGTGATGAGAGGCGTGAAGGAGCCGCCAATGACACCTTTCCCATCAAGAACCCGATGAGATCTCCAGACTCACTTATGGGAAGTTCGTAAGAGACGCATGTGCAGGAGTCCACCGCGGAGCATATAGGCGTGCTGGAAGCATTGACAAAAGAAAAACCGAAAACGCTTACAGATCCCCTTCCGTTGGCAAAATAAACACTTTCCAACTGTTTCGTTCCACTCTTAGTTGTCATCCGCGTCCCATCCATAACAGGGGTACGGAAAGGCATATGTGACGACTGCCTCTCACGGAGCAGCGCGTTAGCCAAGAAGCCGACCACCCGTGTCGGAATCCAAAATGGGGATAGCTCTTCTGTGACGCGTCCCTCTGAGGAACTGGCAGAAGCATCAGCGGCTTCCACACCGTTATGCCACTCACGCATTGCACGCATAACTGCCCAGTCCACCGCTGTCGGCAAAAGAGAATTACTGATCGACAGGCGGGGCTGCCGAAAAGTCATTTTTTTTTTTCTCTCTTTTTTTTCCTCCCTCTTTTCTTCCCTTTCACCCTCTTTCACCTTCGCACTGCCCCTGCACCCCGCTGGGTGTCTTCGAAGGAAAAAAGAAAGAAAGACAGGAAATTGGTTGTGTGCATCGGGCAATATTAAAAAAAAAAAGAAAAAAATAAAAAAATTTAACCAGAGCGCAGGGTAGCGTCAAGATCAAAAGTAAATCCGTTCAAAAAGAAGTCACACGTATACACACAAACGCAGATTTCACTCCGCTCCCCTCCAACAATAACAAATGCAAAATTTTATTTACAACACAACTGTTTGTAGTGCAAAAAAAAAAAAAAAAAAAAAAAAAAAAGAAAGAAGATGGCGTAGGGAAACTATACATCCCGCTCCTTCTCCGTCCCTTCCTTCCCATGTGACGCACGCATCCCTCTTCTCAGATAATTGTACATAATATGCAGCAAACCTACATCGCAGGACGGCCCATGCCAATTGTATTTCTTTGAATTCAAAACTCTTTTTTTTTTCTTTTTTTTTTCTCTCATATCGTTATCGTTCCCAGCCTCGCACGTTTCGATTATCCTGCGGCGTCTCATAGAAAGAGAGACGCCCTTTCGCTCTTTTTGTTAGAGATAATCATAAACGATCGCGTTGCCGTCATCACCGGCCGCCACCAAATGCTCGGGGCTGGCAAAAATTTCCCGCACGGCTGCTGCGTTGGCTCCAAGGCCGTAACAGCACTTCCCCGTCACGGTGTCATGCACAAGCAGCCAGCCGTTTCCTCCACCCGAGAGCACCAGCGGTCCAAATGTTTCAAGCGAGTAGATAAAGTCGCGGTGGTCCGTGAAGCGGTGTACCGTCGAAAAGTTTGCACGGGGGTCCAAAGTAAGTATAATTTTATCTGCGCCCGCAGTGACTAAGTACGGTGTCTCGTCAATGGAGCGGATGCCACTCACGACGCCACCCGGGTGTAAGACATCTTGAAAGATGGGCTTGCTTCCCAAGCGAGGGAAGTCAAGGACAGTAACAACGCCTCCCTGATCGCCAATGACGGAAAGGAGGCCCACACTCGTGTGGAGCAGATGCCATAGGGACCCAATTTGCCCACGTTTGGTGGCCATTGTCGCGAGACAGTCACCGGTTTCAAGATCCCACACCTTCGCAGTGCCTTGACGATCTCCCGAGAGCACTTGCGCTCCACACCAGGAAAACATCATCACAGGTGCCTTATGGCCAGCTAGCGTCGACAGACAACGTCCGCCCCCGCCACAATCCCAAAGGCGCATAGTACGATCATAACTGCTACTGATGGCAATTTTACTTGAATCGTTAACCTCCACTTGACTGATGCTGCCTGTATGGCCCAGAAGGTCGCTGCAGCGCACCGGTCCCGTGGCCTCCCAAAGACACAGTTTACTGTCCATCCCACCGGAGATGATCTGACCAGTGTTTTGAAGGAACTTACAACATGTCACCCACTCGGTGTGCCCATAATTTTTGGTGTAAAGATTTTTCTTTTCTTTCCCTGTCTTGATATCAAAAACTTTGAGTCCATGATCCGCAGAGCCCACCACGCACAGTTTATTCCTAATATGAACATCCATGCAAAGCAGATTTCGATCGCTGGCATTAAAGCAGCGACCAGTTGCATCCACAGGGCCGCTTTGCCAGCTTCGCGGCACGCCAGATGCGTTGAATGCCGTCTTAAACCGTGCGTACTCGCCACCCGCTCCTGATGAGGGGGGCGGACGTTGAGTCACGGCACCGCCGTACACGTCCTCCATCAGACTCTCCATCTCGGAAGCAATCTGACGACCGCGCGCACCTCGCGGATTTGTTCCGTCGTTCTTATGCAATTCACGCACTACGGCACTCGGCCTGCTGACACCAGGACGTGCCACTCCGCCTGCAGTTCCCTGCAGCCGCCCACCGAGTCCTCGGGAGGGGCTTGTCGTGCGACGCTGCATTGACAAAGACAAAAAGAAATAATATACAAATCCTGTTTTTGCTTCCTTCCCTCCTTATGCCTCGCCTTCAGACTCGCTTCCGCAACGATCTTCTTCCGCCCCCCTCAACTTCAGTCTTTGTAATGTGTTGTCTTCCCCCAAATTGTTTTTTTTTTTTTTTTCTCATCGTCGGCGTTGACGATCCGGTCGAGAAGTTAAGAACAAAAAACAAGGCGCAGCATCACTGGGTACTCGCTGCCCCCCCCAACAAACACACCGAGTCTTCCCAGGCAGGGGAGACATCCCGACAAGACCGCATCGCCTCCACCCAAAAAAAGAAAAAAAAGAAAAAAAGAAAGAAATAAGGCTGTGAAAATTTGTGTAACTTCTGTGCTCATTAATCCTTCAAAGTTGGCCCTCAATCGGCTACAAAATGGCCAGCAATCCGTTACCGCCGTCCCCCAGTCGCCACAAGCATTGGGGTCTCAACGCCTCGTGCATCATCGCCGCGGTATTCCAGTACGCAAACACTCCCTCACTCACCATGCTCCTCGCAGACGTCATGGACGAATGACAGTGCTCCTCGTGTGCAGAAGGAGTAAATGAAGATTCATCCCACTTCACCCCGAAGAAGACAAAAGAAGAAGGCCATGGGGCAGGAGGAGAAGGGGGGGGGGGGGGGGAACATAAATATCACTTTTCCAAGAAAAAAAAAACTGCAAGGCGCAGGTGCTTCTTCTTGAAATCACCAAAAGCACCGCCCAACCCTCATTTGCATGCACGCCTTGAAAGCAGCGGCATCCACCAAGCAGAAAAAAAAAGGAAGAAAAAAAAGAAAAACAAAATTATTACCACCAAAAGCTGCCAAAAGAAAAAAAAGCAGATATACATATATATATATATATAAGGGACATCAATGGCACGGACGAAGGAGTGCATTGTAAAAAAAAAAAAAAAAGGTGCGAGAGAAGCATCACTGCCTCCGCAGCGGTGGTGCTCACTTCTCTTCGTTCCCCCAACCATTAAAGCCTTTTATTTTCCTTCTTTTTTTTTTTTTTTTTGCCTCTTCTTCTCATGGCACGGCCCTCTCAGTCCTCTGGCAGCGTCGCTAACGCGTGTCCGCCCGGTGTGCATTGGCCGTGGCGGTGCCGACGAGAAGAGGGAGAAAAAAAAAAAAGAAAGAAAGCTTGAAATGTATTACCATCTAAAATAGAAAAAAAAAAAAAAAAAGCTGCCGCCCCATCAGAAATAAAAATAAAATAAAAAAAAGGGTGGGGTGGGTAGGGGCAGTCAGGTGAATTTTTTAAAAAAGCCAACAGGAACAACAACATGTATATTTCAAAGAAACAATCGCAGTCTTCCTTTTTTCATTTCCTTCTCTGCTTCATTCTTTCCTTTTTTATTTATTATTTATCATATATACATGTACATACAGATATACATGTATCTACATATCCCATTGTTTCTCTGCCAATTCATATATATATATGCATGTTTGTCTGTTAGTTGGCTTGTTTCTTGAAATGTGTGCATCTAACAAAAAAATAAAAATAAAAAAATAAAAATAAAAATAAAAAACATCCATGATACTAATAACAACAACAACAACAACCGAGTGTATGTGTTCGTGTAAATGAAGGGAGTTTCCAAACGGTAAAATGTCCATGGCTGCCATCGTTATTTTGTTTCTTTCCTTTTTTTTTTTTTTTTGTTGTTGTTGTTGTTTCTTCAACTTCATTCATCGCAGGCCTAAAAAAAAGAAAAAAAAAAAAACCATAACAACGGCTGCTGCAATGGACAGCCCTTCCTCTCCTTCCTCTCTCTCTCTCTCTCTCTCTCTCTCTCTCTCTCTATACACAAATACTGAGGAATATATTTTTTTTATTTTGTGTCCACCGTTTACTTCATAGATATATAGATATAGATATACAGGTAGATATTTGTTGTGCGTGCATGTATGCCTGTGGTGTAATCGAACGCCGCGGTTAATAAACAAAAAAAAGGGGGCGGGGGGAATTTTAGCAAAAAAAAAAAAAAAACAGCAGCGTTTCGTTACAACCAAAATAAAAAGAATGCACGCAAACACGCGCAGAGTCCCTCCCCTCCTCCGTGACTTACTCGCCTGAAGGAGTGGCGGTGGAGAACAACTTCTACAGTGGCCGGCAGCATTCATGCCTGGCGGGGCATCGCGTCGTCCACGTGGCGCGCGGTCGGGTGGCGACAACACGGCGCAATCCCCGGCGATGCCTTCGACACACAGAGCCACACACACACAAAAAAAAAAAAAAAAGAAATAAAAAAACAATAATAATATTAAAAAAAAAAAAAGCAATGTCATAATTCACATGTTTTATTTCATTTCAGAAGGAGAAGACAAACAGAACAACTACACACAAGTGCAGCTGCCCGTAAGGCTCTCAATCTCGTATTTTTTACTGTTTTTTTTTTTGTTGTTGTTGTTGTTTTTATTTCCCCCTCAATTCCATGGGAAGCACGCACGCGTACAATTTTGTTCCACGAGCTCATTTTTATTTTATGTTCTCCCTGTGTGTTTCTCTTGTTGCTTCCGTCCCACCGCCCCCTCCCCCTTTGCCCGTCGTCGAAGTTCTCTCTAAGGATTCAAAACAAAACATTACCTCCCTTGTGGTAATTATTTCTTACCTTTCTTGTGGAGTTCCGTCGTGCGGCTTTTTTCTTTTCTTTTCTCCCCTCCTTCGCTCTATGATGCAGCGGGTCCCTGGGGACATACGGCATTCAAACCAGCCCTCTTTCCATCCCCTTTTTTAGTTCCTTCTTTCTGCATGCAATACTTCTGTGAACGTGGACGAGTGACTCCCTGCTACTCGCCGCTGGTAATCCCCTTCAGGAAGACTTTCGTCCGCAAATTAAACTGCAGCATACGCAACAGCCTGGATACGTTCGGTTGGCTGCTTGTGCCCTCCTGCGGCTGGATGTTATAGTAAACAATACAGATGCTTCGATCAAACGTGTAGCAGACGTCCACAAGTTCAAACGGTAGGTTGAGGAAGCGGAACTGCTTGCGACATTCCACAATGGCGTTATTACACGCTTTTGTCAGCTCCTGCAATCGCGCGGCATCTGCAGCGATATGCTCGCCCACCTCACGAATGATGGTGCCGTCGTAGAGCGCCGACCTCTGCACCGGTCCGGAGGTCGTGTTGGCATCACCGTGGTGACGCTGCAAATACACACAGACACCGGCATCCTCGTAGGCGACATTGTCGTATGGACTACGACTGCTTTTGATCGCCGCAAGATAGCGGCGTCCTATCACGGGCAAAGGCTGAGGGGAATCCACCTGAAGGCGCATAACAACTCCTCGCGCAAACTCCAGGATGACGTAGTCACAGTGTTGATGAACGGGCAAGGACCTCCTGGTGAGTGGGGCCGGAGCAGCTGCGGGCGGCGCTACCACCTTCACTGACTTCACAGCTGTCGGCGTTGGTCGCAAGGAGGGCGCAAGTGGTGCCGGACTGATGGGGTCAAACGCAGAAGAAGAGACGCTTCCCTTGCCACCTGTGGTGGAATCATTCACCTTGGCACCAGTCTTCCCCTCGGATGTTGCAGGACGAAGAAGAAGGTGTAACTTGTCGATGGGAACTCGACGCCCACCCACGGCAATAAGAGAGGCTGTCTTGCCCATGACTCGTGTCACGTTCTGACGCCTTTCGTGGCGAGGGTACGCCGGCGGCGGGCCACTGTGCTGCACAGCATGATGTTGGGGTGCGGGATGCGCATTGCCGTGCATAAACGCAGAAGCTGGGAAAGCTTTCTGCCCCTCCACCGGCCGCTGCTGTGAAGGATCCTCCTGCGATGGGCGCAAGTCCAGCTGACGCGGTACGACGCTGCGGGGTGCCTCAGATACGCAAGGCTTCTTAATTGTCTGCACCTCTTTCACGCTGTCATCATCGTCACTCTCCAGTAAGACGCTTCTTGGCAACAGAGTTGACTCAACGCTGACATTCGGGGTGGAGACGGGTAGCGGAAGAGAGAAGGATTCATGAAAGAGCTCACACAGCTTGCCCTGCCGAAAACAAGGGGTTGCGGCAGTATGTGCGGCATTCGTGGTGGCACCAGCACCAGCACCGTCCCACCGCTTCACTGGGGTAATGAAGAAATTGCTTTCCTTCAGGTCCCCCGCATCGCTCTCCGTTATCAGGGAGATATCGGCGATATTCGTATTGGTGGAAAACAGTGCGCTGACACCCCGTGGTCCCGCGGCACATTTATTTCCAGGAGTTAACCCCGTGTGATGTGCACGCTGGCGGTTTGTGACGGGTGTGCAGCAGCAGCTATTCAGTGAATTGTTGAGAAGTTGTGTGATGCCGCCGTTCTTCCAGCCGCTCTTGCAGCCACTTCCGCCCTCATTTTGGCTCTTTCCAAAAAGAGCAGGAGGGATATTCTCCTTATTTTCGTGGCCCAAGACATTTGTGTTTGTGATTTCCTGCAAAAAAGGTGAAAATGGGCTAAAGCACGATGTCGATTGCTGATGCGTTACCTCCATTTCAACCACTCTTCTCTGATTCCTTCCTTCCTTCTTCTTCTTCTTCTTCTTGTTGTTGTTGTTGTTGTTGTTTCCCCGTCTTTTCCTCTCACTCCTTCCTGTATGTATATATTTGTATATATTTGTATATATGTATGCTTATGTATTACTTGTATGTATATATATATATGTGTGATCTAGCCGGCTATCTATCTATTGATCTATCTTTCACTCTCTGGATATGTCAGGTCCCGTGATGTTTATGCTACAGCCAAATACCAGGCAAAAACCAAAAACCAAAAAAAAAAGAGAGAGAGAGAGAGACCAGGTGTTACAATCCAGTAAAGCAAACCGTGAAAAACAGCAACACATAAATGAATTAATTTAATAAAAAAAAAAAATAAATAAAAAACAACAATTGATGTTTAATGCGCAATACACTTCTCCTCCTTTAACATCGTTTTCCTCTGATCATATATTTATATGAAATATAAAAATATATGCCCGTATGCATCCTTTTTTCTCTCTTTTTTTTTTTTTTTTTTTTTTTTTTTCTTTTGTATTATTGTTAAATAACAGAATTATTTGACTTCCTTCGTTTCCGTGACTTTAGCCGTAGAAGTCATTGACGCGGCATGGATTAGGCGCATGCAGGCAATTACATCTGAAAATGTGTACCCGTGCATGCGTGCGACACAACGGTGGAAAGAGAAGGAAAATAAAACCACTTCCACTCCTACAGACACACACACACACACACGCAGAAATCAATGAAAGGCCTTTGCAGGTGTCGTACCGGCAATGTAATTCCTCACAAATGCCCCAGCGACAAAAAGAAAGCACGGAGAAACGCCGAAATAAAACAAACAAGTGAAAAGAAAAAAAAAAGAAAAAGAAAAAAATCGACGAAAGTCGCATCCCTCTCCCCTCCCCATCTTTTTTTTTCCCTCCCCCCTTCAGTGGCTTCAGTCAAACAAGCCGTTGCTCATCCCCTGTTTGATCTGACGCCGTATCTTCTGCTTCTGTCGCCCCTTCTGCACGTTGCGATGAAGGCCCACATTAAACTGGTGGTTGTCTTTGCGACGAATGTTGCGCCGCACCTGCGACCGCACGTACTCCTCGTTGACGGTGCCGTCCGGGTTGAAGTTGACATTCTGCTGCCGCTGCCCACGTCGTTCAATAGCCGCCTCGTCAACCACCTCGTCAAGGGACCGCGCCACACTACTCGTCTCGCCATTGTCATCATCCCCTACTTCGCCCGGAGGGTGCCGCCGCGCCTGCCCCTCCCCTTCACTGCCATCAGCCGCATGGACCCCGCAGGCGTTTGCACCACCGGCAGAGACAACATCCACCGACGCGTTTCCCGAGGGAGTCGTTGCCTCCTCCTCCTCCTCTTGGCCGTCTTCCTCTTCACTGTCAACCTCATCTTGGGCCGTTAGCTGCGTTTGTAGAAGACGCTCAAGATCCTGCTGTTGTCTGCTGCTGAAGCACCCGCTTGCAAAGACGACGCGATCCAATTCCGCCTTGCGCTCCACGTTCTTTTCAAGCGTCGGATAAAAGAGCGTCGTCACTTTGAATCGCCGATGAAAGAAGTTCGCAAGATTCTCCACGTCCCGACTAAATAATTCCGCCGCGTTGGGATGGTTCGTGGAAATCATCTGCGGGAAGTCAATCACAATGACGCGCATGTCTTCTGTAATCATGAGATTAAACTCGTTGAAGTCACCGTGCACGAGGCCGTGCTCGCCCAGTTTGATCATGAGGTCCAAAGAACGCCTGTACACCTTTTCCGGGTCACCCAATGCAGTGATGTTGTTCAACAGCGTGCCGTCCACCAGCTCCATCAGAAGCGCATGACGGTTCTGGTCAATGGGCTTCGGAACGGGAAACCCCTCATCGTAAAGTATCTTCATGAAGGAGAACTCCTTCTCCGCGGCAAGGCGCGAGAGGTAAAACCAACTTTCACCATGTCGCGTGCGGCCCCCGCCCTTGTAATCCCGGTTGCGGGTGACACTGCGGAAGCTGCATCGCCCGAGCCGCTGCAACTTCAGCACGCACTCGTGACCGGCCTCGTCCTTTACAAGAATTATGTCGGACTCCTTCCCGCATCCAATGCGGTGTCCTACGGCGGCGACGGTACCACGTTTGCTAAGTGTGCGCAGTGCCAAGTAGTCGTATGCACCGTACTTCATTGCATACCCATCGTACATGGTGTTCTCGTGGTAAATCATCTTGTGCTTCAGGAGGCATCGCAGGCGTTTGCGACATCCACCGTGTGGGAGTTGCGCGATACGTTCAATGAGGGCAGTAGGCGCGACATCGTGATTTCGCATCGTCATCTCAAGAGCCGTGAGAACGCGGAAGTCCTCCTCCTCCAGAAATCGTAGCAGCGACACGTCAAGTTTCACCATTCTTGTCTCCTTCCCCAGACCCACACCCTCCACTTCTACGCCCTCCCCGCGTGCAGCCGCAGGCAAGAAATGAAAATAAAAATAAAAACAGCAGGAGTGGTGGGATGAAGAGGCATGTACAAAAGCACGGACAGACAAGGGAAGGAGAAAGGCAAGCAGCAAAAAAAGAAAAAAGAAAAGTATCAAAAAAACAAAAAAAAGCACATGGAAAAATTGCAAGACCGCAAAAATCATGCACCACAGCTCTGCTGGCAACAGGCCATCACATACACCGCAAGGCATGTCAAACAATAACATAAGAGAGGGTAGAAACCACGCAAGAGAACAAAAAAAAGAAAAAAGGAAAAAAGAAAAGAGTTCAATCCCCTCCCCCTCCTATCCAATTGCCAAAAGCAATACTCAACAACCAATATCTGTGTGCATGTGTGTGCGCTTCGCAGAAAAGCATGGAAGGGGACGGGAAAAATAAAAAGAACAACAACAACTGATCCCGCGAGCAGAAAACCCCCCCAAAAGGAGCAGCAAAAAAGAAAAAAAAAGGACAAAAACACGGCGCCCCGCAACGATAAATTGACACCTTCCCTCATTCCACCTCGTTGTCTCATATTCCCCCCCCCCCCTCTTCTCTGTCCCTCCCTCCTACCCCTCTTCAGCGTGGATCTTCTCTTCATTGTTCGTTTGTTTGTTTTTCTTCGTTTTGTTTTTTGTTTTTTTTCTCTTTTTTTGTTGTTGTTGTGTTTGTGTGTTTTTTGTCGGCTGCGGTGGAAATGCTCTCGTCCATCACCGCCCACAGAAACAAGAAAGAAAAAAAAAATTTCGAGGGAGAGGGAGAGCACACACACACAAAAAAAAAAAAAAAAGGAAAAAAACAAGAAGCCACCCCCCTCTACAAAAGGTGCCTCAGTGCATTATTGTACAACTTTTGCATCATGACTCCCTGTGATATGAGAGCGTTAAAATCCTGCGCGCTGAGTTCTTCTGTCGGTAAATTCTGCAAAAATTTCATCACAACACCGTAGTCCCTCTCGTTACACAGCGCGGGAGAAAACCAAATCAAAAGTGCAGCGCAGACGTAGACATGAGTGGTACACCAGTCCCTTTCTACATCAGCGAGGTACGTGTCCCACAACCGCAGTGACTGTGTGGCGTTGAGCTCTCGAAGGAGCAGGCAGTTCATCCAGCGGAACGCAAATTGATTGAAATCAATCTGCAATTCTTCAATTAGATGCTTGTAAAGCTTCACATTTACTACCCGCGTCACCGCCTCCAAATGGCGCACCATGCTGTAAATACCCCTCTGGTTGTATGTGTAGTTCTCCTGCATACCACTCAAGAGGTGAGACGCCATCCAATACGTATCGGCCTCAATGGTGCACATCCACTCCTCCTCACTGACGGCGTCGGTGGAGAACAACTCGTCCAATTCCCTCGCCGTGAGCGAGTGCAGCTCCGCCACGGTCTTGGAAGAACAAAACTGACTTGACAGGACGACACTAATGAAGGGGATTAAAAGGTCGTTTATTCCCTGCACGTAGCCGCATGCCGGATGACGTAGCGCCCAAATGTACAAAATTCGTTCAATAGAGAGCATGACTCTTTTATGATGAAGATACGCCACACCGGCAGACATGCGAGGCACATCCTTGCGGATTTGTTTAAGCATACGAAGTTCCGACTCACTGGCAATACCATACTGCGCCCCGCCCACCACCTGCCGCTGGTGAACACCACTTGTGGCACAGGCACCCACAAAACTGCCATCATCACCGTCTTTTATTTCTGCTGGAGCCAAATTGACACACGCGGTTCCTCCCGTCTCCACCGCCCTCAACGCCGCATCCCAGTCAATCGAACTGTAGCTTGACTGAACATATCCTACATATTCTTGTCGTTTGCGAGCAAGCACCGTGGCTCGACTCGAGAGAAACGGCTGCAAATTTCCGGTTAAATAGCCCCAAACTTCACGACGAAAGGTGGCCGGACAGCCGCTCCGGCACGTGCTGCACAATTCATCGAGCTCCACAGTATCCTTCGCGAGCACTTTGCGGAGGGCCGCCTCGTCGTACAGCGATTCTTCCTCAGGCAAAGCCCTCGATTTCTTCCTCACGGCATCGGCCGTGCTCTCACGCCCATTTGACAATGCGGTAAGGGACTGCAGTCCAGCAATGGGCATTTTGCGATGGAAAGACTCATCATTCCGCTCCGGAGTCGCCAATGAAAAACGCCGCATAAGTTCATCCTTCACGCGCGAAAACATCACGCGCCCTCTCCACCACCTACTCCTTCACCGAAAGCAGCAGCAGACCTTCTCCCCCCACTACTCCCTCTAACGCCAGGAGCAAAATTAAAATAAATAAAAAAAAAAAGAAATAAAAAAAAGGGCGGATGCATCCTCATCACAGCAAATCACGCACAAAGAGAAGCACAAGTACAGTTGCACCTCATGCATGTTTTTCTTTTTCTTCCCTTTTGCGTCTGTGTATTCTCGTCGCTGTCCCCCTCCCCTCCTCCCCACGTCCAACAATTTAAATGGCTGGGCGGACAAAAAAAAAAAGACACGCGGTTTACTCAAAAAGGAAAAAAAAAAAAAAAAGCAAAATCCTCAATAATTCAAAGACTATTTTTTCTTTCCAAACAGTGCAGCGTTTCGCATCGCATCCAGTCTTTGGAGTCTGTTTATTGGCTTGTTTTTCTCTGTGCGCGACTGTTCTTCCGTCTTTCTTGTTGCATATGAACCCCCAAATTCACGTGGATGAACATTTTCATTTTGGTCGCCCCCCGTCTTACGGTGTGAGTCCCCAAATCCAGCAGACAAAGAGCGTTCTTCACCCTCTCTCCTCCGTCCTAACACATTATTTTGTCGTTGCTGCCTCCCTACTTCGTTGCAACCTTCTCCATCCACTGCTTCCTCTCCACAATTTTCATTGTTGCGCTGACGTTTCCTCTTGAGTACTCCCCGCGGCAAAACACGCTGCAGGGCAGTCTTTTCCCATGTGGAGAGCGCAACCGCCAAACCCTTATCCGGGGCTGTAGACGCATCCCCAGTGATCTCATCGACGTTACAAGCGGCCATGGAACCGTAGATACGCTCTGCGTCCTGCTGCTGTGATCTTCTCTCCTTTGCGCTGAGGGCCTTTGCGCCAACCCCTGCTCGATTCCAAGGACGGCAAACGTCATCCTCATCGTTTTCGCCATCATTCCCAGCGCCGCTCCCACTTACGGCGTGCGGCCGGTGAGTCTTGTGACCTAAAGCACCCCCCGCCGCGTTTAACTCCGCCATCGCGGCAAAAGCTGAGTCAATGTCAAAGGGGCACCGCAAATAACCCCCACGGCCTGACTTCACGGGCTGTTGAGGCGCCGGCGCCTCCATCGTCTCCCTATTTTCCACCCGCATCCCAGGCTTCATCGCGAGCGCCACAGTGAGCAAAGTACACTGGCCGCAGTACGGATACACCGAGAGGAGAGCAAAAACACAAAAAGAAAAAAAAGGGAAAGAGGATGACAAAGCATTTTTTTTTTCTTTTTTAGGAATGCGCCATGAGGCCGCCGGGTCCTGTCTCGCTGCCGTGCAGAAGAGGAACACAGACGAAGAAGAAGAAGACATCAGCAGGTGGGAACGACGGATTTCTGCGTGGAATTCAGAAAGTGTGAGGCTACACATGCGCATACCCCTCTCCACCTCCCACCGATTGCTCGCACAAACGCGGGCTACGGCTTGTTTTCCGCTCGAAGAGGAGAAAAAAGAACCACATACAAGAAGAAAAGGAAAAAGAGGGAAGAACACATGCACGTGCAACATCCAAACAACAACAACAACAAAATAAATAGAAACCATAAAATAAGATTCGCCGCGTTGACAGTGGAAGATCTAAATAAGACGTTCATCGACAAAATCAAAAAAAAAAAAAAAAAAAAAAATCAAGCGACTTTTCTTCCTGTCCTTTTTGCATTGTCACTCACGGAATCCAGCACCAAAAAACCAATGGCAAATCCATCCCCTCATTGCACACACAAACACACACACACAGGTGTACACATGTATGCCGCAGCAAAGGAAAACAGATGCAGGATAAATGACGCGGATGTGAATGCATGTTGGGTACCCCCGGTTTACGACCCGCACAGTGTAACAGGCTCTCTATTTGACATTTTCCCTTCACTTTAAAGCGATAAGCTCCCTTGTAACTTCTGCCCATTTCACATCGCTTCCACACCACATGGCATGGAGGCCTTGCGTGGTCCGGTCAAGCATCATGACGGCTGTTGGCCAATTCTCCAGCCCGCCAAATATGTGAGTTGCGTACACAACAGTCACACCTCGGTTGACGCTCTCACTGTACAGAAATGATAACAACTCCTGTCGCTGGTCGAGATCAAGATCAGATGTGGCCTCATCCAGCAGAATAACTGGCTTGTCCTCGAGTAAGTGAAGTAGAAGCTGCACATGTTTCTGCTCACCCGTAGAAATATGGCGGACGTCCCACGACAAGTCCACTCCAAGAACTTTGCACAACCACTCTGCCCGTGGTGTTTGAAGTTGCAGCATCTCGTGCACGTGCATTTCACCCGGCGGTGCGGTATCCCACCATTCACCACCAAACGCAACAAGGCCGTTTAGCGTCATATCATCGTAACAGGATTTCCCAAGAATACGGAGTGATCCATTGCAGTTGTTGAAGAACTGCTTCCCGCCCATCATTTTCAGCAAAGTCGACTTCCCGGCACCATTGCAACCACAGAGCAACACACGATCCCCCCTGTAAACCGTGAAGGAAAGATTACGGAATATGTTTCTGTATTGTAGTCGGTCACAAACAATAACAGCCTCTTTTTCCAAGGGCAAGGCGGTCACTGTGCCCCCTCCCTTCCAATCGTCATTGTATGCGTCTTTCACGGGCGTCCGCTTGCTAGTGTGATCAAAAAGGCCTCGATGACGCCTCGTGAGGAAGTGGCACACAAACACCTCCAAAGGTGCATTGAGATCAGATACCCTTTTGAAATCAACGACCATGCCTCCCTGCATCAGCAAGAGGTGCGTTGCCCAGTCACTCACACCATCAAAAATATGGGTCGCATACAAGCAACAGCTGTCACCAACAACACACTCTGACCGCACAAGATCCAACACGGTCATTCGCTCCGCAATGTCAATGTCCGTGCTACATTCGTCCAGCAAATAAACAAACGACTTCTGCAACAAACCGTGAAGAATCTGCACCCGCCGTCTCTCCCCCGAACTCATATTGCTAACGGCACGCCCTAAATCAAGATGAAGAGCATCCGCCACGCTTCGCTTCCTTTCCGGCAGCGGCGCCTGAGAGGTTACCTGGTCGACAGTGGTGGCAAAGAAAGCCTCTGTTGGCCACGGTCGACCAATAAGCGTCACATGCTGCTGCAGACGCGTGTCATCAAAGGCGTCGGAACCCAGCACAGTGGCGCGGCCACTCGACGCCTTTCGCCGCCCCGCAATGACGGACAGAAGCGTTGACTTTCCACTACCGTTGTGCCCCACGACGAGAACTCGATCCCCGCCATTCACGCGAACACTGACATCGCGTATTCCGCCCGCCGAACCGCCGCCGCCATGTGGGTACTGAAAGGAGACGGATGCGAGATCCACCAGCGGGTCCGTGAATGTGTGGCTCATCTCAACTCCCCAGGGAAGCGCAACGGCGAGTAGGAGGGCCGCAGCAGCAAAAAAAAAAAAAAACCGCACACGACACTACAAACAGACAAACAACGATAAAAGCAATAATAAATAAATAACTTCATTAGCAGAACAAAATAGCCGTAAAGAACAGACGGTGGCGTAAAAAATACCGTTCAAGCGCATTGATTTCCGCCTTTCTTTCATTATCATTATTTTTTTTTTTTTTTTTTGTGTGTGTGTTGGGGTTTTTACTTTACCCTTTGTTCCACCCGCTTCTCATCCCCCTCCTCCTCCTCCTTTTTCTCCACTAAACGCACCTCACGCGCGGTCACCCATTCCCCTCGCCTTGACACGCCGCCTCTACACCTTTACAAGGAGGTGGAGAACAGAGGCAAGGGCAGGCCCAGCCACACACGCACACACAAAAAAAAATACACACAAAAATCTATGCCATTCCTGTTACCATGTCTGGTGTTATCAAAACCATTTTGGGCATTCCAGAGTCATCACTTAAATTTGTCCTATGCAATACCAATACCACGCCATTCGCCACGCACTGAATCGCCTGAACACAGCCCGTACTTCGTCCCTCAGAGGCAGAAGCTGCCATCCCCGCCAAGGAACAATAGTCACGAAAGCACACTTCCACACCAGGGCGTATTTTACACCCATTCACCTTAATTTCCTCTAGCACAGTGCCTTCACGATTCGGAGACCGTGCGTGCACGTCCCCTGACGCCAAAACAAACGACGGTCCTGTGGGACACAGAGCAGGAGACGCTTTTTCGTCTGTACGACACCTGTACGGAGGTTCCTCGTCCATTGCCTCCTTCATACGAACTCCCTGACTCCCGGCACAACCACCACCAACAGCAGCTGCATCGACACCTCTAGGGGGCGACTCAAGCACATACATGTGCTGCATTTGTGAGGCATCAACAACGTAAACGGGGATGCTGAAGATGAGATTTTCCAACGGCACTGTTGCGGTGCGTGAACCCAGATACACCGTTGTCTGGTTTTCAAGGCTTCCTGTGTGAGGGTTTTGGCGCAGAACTCTGTACTTCACTTCGTAGAGCAGCAATGTCACAACATCATCCCCGCCAAGACGTACCACGCGCCCCAGCTCCACCACCGGTGCCTCGTTTTTGTTCCTATCATGCATCCTGCTGCCGCTCACACGCGGCATGCGAAAGTAGTAGTCCTCACCCTCCAGCACCGTAAGCACCTCGCCACCCGAAGTGAACGTCACACGACTCGACCCTCGATCTGCATTTGCCGGCGATAACGGCACAGCCTCTGCTACCCTTGTCCTCGCCTCCTCCTCCGTCTTATCTCGGAGGCGCTTGACACCAGAGACTGGGCTGGCAACAAGCGAGTTGATGACAACGCCAGCGTCACTCCGTCCATTTCGCGATGGGGGAAGCGCAAGAAAAAACTCGTGGATGCGGTGAAACAACCATGATTTCTCTAACAGTGCCACAGAGGTGACACTAGTGGTTATCTGCGCCCGCTTCCCGGGAGCTACATACAAATAATGCGGGGGAGAGTCCCCATCCGGTGGTAGTTGATGCGTGATTGTGCCCCCACATACTTGGAGAAGAAACGCAATTTCTGCATCTTCCCCTGCAACGTAAATCCTCTTCTGGCTGAGGAATCGTTCTTCCTTTGAAGAAAGCAGCCGCCATCGCACAAAAGTATCGTTGTCCTGCCCAATGAGGTGTTTCGGTTTCGGAATGCACACATGTGGACGCCCTCCCGCAACATCCACCTCGAGTTCCTCCAGCCACCCCACGGAAACGGCAGAAAGACCCATGGCGTGTGCTACCGCTATAATCATTCCATCGTCCCTCTTCACATCGTCCTCTGCAACGACAAAAAAAAAACGTTTCTCTCCTGTTCGCCGCTGACCAAATGAGAAATTCGATGAAAGGGACTCCACATTTAAAGGAAGCTCCACTATCAAGGTGCCCCGTTCCATCAGCTGGGTGAGAACGCATCCCTTCCCTGCCAATTGTGACAGCGCTGCCGATGTAAGATAGAGTGTGAGGAACGATGGGCTTACTCCGACATCCTCGTCCAGGGGGTTCAGCCCCAACTCTTCCTTCACCGACAACTCCGGATGTGGGGTCTCATTCTCCACAAGCTCCACCAACTGTGTTGCCGTCATGACAGAAGGGGTGTTCAGCAGACTCCTTGTCCTCCTACCATTCATCCTCCATTTATCCTGCGGTAGTCGAACTTCTCGAACCTTCACATGCAACAAGGAGCCATCTTCATCCCAGCGGAGCTGCACGTACCCATTCTGCTCACCCTCGGTAATCACAGCACCAAACCATCGACACCCCCACCGTCCCTCCACTCGCATGCCTGCAGTGAATCGGGGTCCTGCGGAATCCGTCACGGGTACGAATCCTCCGGCACCTCGCCGCCCAACAGGTGTGACTCGACAAAATAAAGGAGCATCTTCGTCATCACAGCCACCACTTTTCCTTGTCGATAGGGGTAACGGCAAGGCAAAGGCATCTTCCTTCCCTCCCTCACCCAAATCCCCCTGCCCCATCACAACATCCTTTGGGAATGGACCCAATGCTTCCTTGGCGGCTCCCTGAGAAAGTGCAGCCCTCTCAGCACACCCACCATCGACGGCTTCCGGGAGTACACCTCCCGTGGAAACAGCCACTGCCCCCACCTTCTGCTGCTCGCGAGAATTCCAGGAGCGGAATGGGACATTGTTTGCCTGTTGAACCGGCGAAAGCGCTTGCGCGGCCAAACCAACTGCACAACCCGTGGTGACCTGAGACGCCGCTTGACGCCTGCTTGTGTGAGTTTCTGGAGTGGGGATGAGGCGCGGGGTTGAGAAGCAATGCTCCATCCCCGTGACGGCCTGCCCCAGGCTATGAAGACCAAGCACGTCATTATCGGGGTAAGTCACATCCCGGCCAATGATTACTTGTTCCTCCTCCTCCTCTGCTGCACACCTAAGGGGAGAGAACAGAAGCAGCCTGCTTTCAGCTGGGTCCCCCGTGTGATGACGCCTCTCCTCCGCCCTGACATCGTCTTGAAGCTCTGATCTTCGCCGCCATGCGCTCATGGGGCTCGCAGCACACAGTGGCGACGCTGTTGACGAGACGCCAGCCTGCTCCCTCCTCGCTATTCCATCCGGACTGTCGTCAAGTTTCAGTTCAAGAAGCGGGTCGCGTGCAAACAATGTGTGTGACTGAGACGCAAGAAACGCTGTGATGTCCTTTTCCCACGCCCGTCTGACAACAGCGTTAGTGTCCACACCGGCTGATTCACCACCGAGCTCCAGCCTCCGTGTGGGTGTCGTGCTCTCCAACAGACAAGTGCCCTCTGACACCGCCTGTTGCACCTCACCACTGTTGTTGCCCTCCGTTTCTGTCCGCCCCATGCGTCGCACACAAACATACACACAGAACCACAACAACGACCGACCCCTCGACTCCCTCGCGCAGGCAAAACAAAGGCAATGTATGTGTTTTCTCCCGTTCACAGCAAAGGGGCAAAGAAAGTGCTCCTCAACTGTTGACTGGTGTCCTATGCCCTTGCAAGCAAGCACCACAGACACACACACAAAACAAAGAAGGACAAGGACAAAAGGCAAAATAGGCATTACCGGCAGGGCAGTCAGACAGCCACAACAACAGATGGCGGGCCCCTGCAACAGACGCCACATATCCTCCTTATGGCCTTTTGAAGGCAGCAAATCACCACAAGGCAAGATGCCAAAGTATTTTAAAAACAAAACCACATTTACGCCGTTGAACGGCCCCAGGTACGACGGCAGCCCGAGCACCAAAAAAAAGAGCGATGTGTCCGTGCTCGTTATTTTCAGTTCCGCACCAACGTGTCTGCCGCACTCAGTACCAAGCGACTGACGCAGTAGGAAAGACGTCTCAGCCGACGGGCCCAAAAAAAAAAAAAAAAAAATTGAACCAAAGCCCCAAACCGCCACACCCGTTTTTTATTCTTAGTTTTTTGCTGTTTAAAAAGAACCAAAGTAACGTTTTCGTTTTCGTAAATTATTTTATAATTAGTTTACAACAATGCGGGCGCCTAGTTAAAAGGAGCATGGCAGGATCAGCCCCCTCTACAGCGACGGGAGCCCGTGGAGAACCGGGATCTGGCGAAGCATGTCGTCCGTCATTTTGTCCACGTCGTACTTCGTCTCGTAGCCCCAGTCCTGGCGGGCGTTAGAGTCGTCCAGGGAGTCAGGCCACGAGTGCGCGATGCTCTGCGCAGGCCCCTCGACGTACTCCACCTCCAACGGGCGCTTCATCCGTGCCTCAATACTGGCCCGCAGCTGCTCCGGAGTGAAGCTGAAACCGCTGATATTATACACCGCCCGCTTCAAACAGCTGTCGGACGCCTCCATGAGCTTGATGACACCACCGAGGGCATCCGGCATGTACAGCATCGGCAGCGGCTCATCACGGCGAACGGGGCAGACGTACTTTTTGCCCAGCAATGCGCAGTGGTACATATGAATGGCGTAGTCCGTGGCGCCGCCACCGGGGAGTGTCGCGGCAGAGATGATGCCGGGGAAGCGCACGCTGCGGAAGTCCGTGCCCATCTTTTCACGATAGTATGTGCCAATCATCTCCGTGAAGACCTTGGTGACACCGTAAACCGTTGAGGGGTTCAGGATCGTGTCGTCCTTCGTGTTCACCTTGCCGCACTTGTCTCCAAAGGCGGCGATCGTGCTGGGGATGAAGCAGCGCATCTTGTAGTCACGCGCAAGGTCCAGGGCGTGGCGTGTCGAATTGATGTTGAGGTTCATTGCCAGCTGCGGCTCTGCCTCGCCGCGAACGGACATGATCGCCGGAAGATGGAACAGCCACGTCGGCTTGAAGTCCTTTACCAACTTTTCGTAGGCGTCACGGTCCATGCAGTTAAGGTGCTGGTATCCCTTCCCACCCGCAAGCGGATGCTTTTCCGGTGGCGTAACCAGGTCAGACGTCAGGACAGAGTCGGCGCCAAACTTCTCACGCAGTGCAAGAGTTAGGTCGGTGCCGATCTGGCCCAGACCGCCGGTAATGAGCACCCTGGGCACCGCAGCGGCAAATAAGGGAAGTGAGAAGCGCAGCATTACTTCTTTCCTGTTTTGTGATGGTAATTAAAACTATTTTTTTTCTCCTGCTTCCTCGCATGCGGACACACATATATATAAGAGAAGAATAAAAGATAAAAGAGAAATGAGGAGAGGTGGAAAAAAAAAAGCCGCAGACCTCCGAAGTAAAGGGAGTGGTCATATTTCTCCTTTGCAGGACACCGGTTCATTATCCTCACAAATTATGCTGGTGTGCACTGCAAGGGCCTTTTTTGCGTTTGATTAAACGAGCACGAACCATCGGCGCGGCACGACTCAGCAGAAAGATCCCTCTTCCAGGCAACAGGGGCATGCATGTGTGCCCATAAGCCTGGCCCCTTTACAGGAGCCGGCGCTTCTTCGCCGTGTTCATATACGGCTGCAGCACCCACTCCGTCTCGGCGTCGTCCATCTCAAGCGTCCCCAGTGTGATGCGGTACGGCGCCAGCTCCATGCGGGGGCCAACCTCCGTCAGCTGCACCTCCCTCCCCTTTACCGCCCTAAACGTGTGGTGGCGGAAACTCACAAAGTCATTCTGGTTGTCGAACGTCAAGACGCGCGTGGCGTCAGGCTTCGGAACGGGGAAGAGGAACTTCAGCACGTCCCGCACCCGGCGACCCAGCCTCGTCGTGAAGTTCTCAAAGATCAAGTGCGGGTGCTGCTCAGACATCGTGCCAACGTCCTGGATGTCGTGCCGTGTCACAAGATTATGTATTGTGAAGACGACAGTCGGCCCTAGTGGCAGGTGCGAAACGGTGAGGCTATCGGGGACGCCTTGCGACTCCTGCAGCACAACAACATCGGAGTACTGCCCCCGCCGCGCCGCATCCATGAGCTGACGGACGCTGAGGTTGCCGCGGTTCATACGAACAGCGCTGGGAATGACCAGCCGAATCTCCTTCGCAAACTCCAGCAGCTTCTGTGACGGCTCTCGTGACGTCGTGACGAGAACGCGCGGGTCTTCCACACCCGCGTTGGCGTACTCGTCGTCCACACTGGTCTGCAGTGTCCTCGTCTGGTCGTCGTCCAGCTCCGTGAACTTCTTCAGGGCTAACGCGTCCTTGCGGAGATGTCCCGGGAGCGGCGTGGCGTTGCTCACGGCCTCACGAAACTGCTCCTTCCTGGCATGGATCGCCTCGTGAACGCGTTCGTTCTGCTTGCGCTCCAAGAACTCCTTGCGCAGCCGGATAACGCTTCGCCGCATGCTGTCGTGCTGCCGCTCCGTGCTGCAGCCCCCGCCCCGCCTCCTCCGTTCCGGCTCGCTATCACACAAGGCAACAACAATAAAAACAAAAAAGAAAAATGCAAAAAAGCTCCAGCAAGAAAAAGGCAGCTGAACAGAAAACAAGGGAGCTGCAGGCGCCAAACGCACAAGTCAAATTGCCACACTTCACGGCCGCAGCCACACACGTTTCATCACTTCAACACGGACCGCGGCTCCGGGGTATTATTTCACTGCCCCGCGCACCTCACAACAGACAAGGCAGCGAGGCGACACCTTCCGCGAGCCCGGCCTCAGGTATTCCTCCGGGTGCTTGAAAAAGCGGCCAACATCAACATCGGCTGGCTGCACGAGCAGAACACCCTCGCCAGCGAGGTAGCCAATCACACAGTTGGCGTGGTAGGTGTGGGAGCACCCAAAGATCACAACGTCCGCCAACGTTGGCTGGTGGCAAAAGGGGCACACCGCCATTCGAGGGTCCACACGAATTGCCGCCCCCCGCCGCCTGTACAGCGTCTCGTAGTGCTTCCCCAAGTCACTCGTCGCCACGTGCACGACGGCCGTCATGAGCCACACATCATTTGCCTTGCTGCGCGCCACGTTGGCAATGCGGCTTCCCACATGTGGCATGGGCTCATCCTACGGCACCTCGCCGCCCAACAGGTGTGACTCGACAAAATAAAGGAGCATCTTCGTCATCACAGCCACCACTTTTCCTTGTCGATAAGGGTAACGGCAAGGCAAAGGCATCTTCCTTCCCTCCCTCACCCAAATCCCCCTGCCCCATCACAACATCCTTTGGGAATGGACCCAATGCTTCCTTGGCGGCTCCCTGAGAAAGTGAAGCCCTCTCAGCACACCCACTATCGACGGCTTCCGGGAGTACACCTCCCGTGGAAACAGCCACTGCCCCCACCTTCTGCTGCTCGCGAGAATTCCAGGAGCGGAATGGGGCATTGTTTGCCTGTTGAACCGGCGAAAGCGCTTGCGCGGCCAAACCAACTGCACAACCCGTGGTGACCTGAGACGCCGCTTGACGCCTGCTTGTGTGAGTTTCTGGGGTGGGGATGAGGCGCGGGGTTGAGAAGCAATGCTCCATCCCCGTGACGGCCTGCCCCAGGCTATGAAGACCAAGCACGTCATTATCGGGGTAAGTCACATCCCGGCCAATGATTACTTGTTCCTCCTCCTCCTCTGCTGCACACCTAAGGGGAGAGAACAGAAGCAGCCTGCTTTCAGCTGGGTCCCCCGTGTGATGACGCCTCTCCTCCGCCCTGACATCGTCTTGAAGCTCTGATCTTCGCCGCCATGCGCTCATGGGGCTCGCAGCACACAGTGGCGACGCTGTTGACGAGACGCCAGCCTGCTCCCTCCTCGCTATTCCATCCGGACTGTCGTCAAGTTTCAGTTCAAGAAGCGGGTCGCGTGCAAACAATGTGTGTGACTGAGACGCAAGAAACGCTGTGATGTCCTTTTCCCATGCCCGTCTGACAACAGCGTTAGTGTCCA